GATAGATATTAATACACTATAGATAGATATTAATACACTATAGGTAGATATTAATACACTATAGGTAGATATGAAAAAGGGGGGTGGGGGTCTCCTCGATGCAGACTTTAGCAGGCTCACAGCTGATGGGAAAAAGCTGTTCCTGAGCCTGCTAGTTGAGATCAATCAGATCAATACGTCTGATTGTTGAGTTCAACTCAAAGAATTGATCATTATCAGAGAGCTCCAGGTGTGACTTCCTGTTCTCAAACACCTGGAGGAGTTCAACTGACCTCCGCCCTCTTTATTACTTCTGAAAAGTAATAAATTACTTTACGTATTACTGACATAATAACAGGACCACTGTCACTGTGCTCTGATCGGAGCTGATGGATCAATCACTGACATCAGACCTGATCAATACTCCTGATCAGCTGATAGAACAACAACTCACTGACCTTCACCTCTGACTGAGCACACAGACCAGAACCAGAACCCAAGCCAGAACCATAATCAGAACCAGAATCAGAACCAGAATCAGAACCAGAATCAGAACCAGAATCAGAACCAGAATCAGAGCCAGATACATGACTAGGACTAGATCCAGAACCAAAACCAAAACCAGAACCAGACTCAGAACCAGAATCAGGACCAGAACCAGAACCAGAACCAGAATCAGAGCCAGAGCCAGATACATGACTAGGACAAGATCCAGAACCAAAACCAGAACCAGAATCAGAATCAGAATCAGAATCAGAACCAGAACCAGAACCAGAGCCAGAGCCAGAACCAGAGCCAGAACCAGAGCCAGAGCCAGAACCAGAACCAGAACCAGTTATTCCTTGTGGCACCTCCTTCAGGACAAACTGAGGAGGAAACTGAACTTTAAGAGACTAAAACAGCGACAAACGTTCAGACTGTAAATAAAGTCTGTTAACATCGTCTGACTGGAAACTGATCCTGGTTCAGTTTCAGATGGGGGGGTGAGGCGGGGTGAGGGTGAGGTGAGGGGGGTGAGGGTGAGGTGAGGTGAGGGGGGTGAGGGGGGTGTTTTGGCGTCCTCAGGGAGCTGCAGGTCAGAGGGACTCTGAGGTTTTGAGGCTTGTTGACACCAACAAATAAAAAGCTCTGAGGTCGACAACAAACAACAGAAGAAGAGTTCTGACAGGAAACAGCTGAGGTCTGTCAGGACTCATTTCCTGTTGGGTCGGAGGTCACTGAGGTCAGCGGCAGATAGAGAGGAGGTCAAAGGTCACAGCAGCCAGAGAGTCTCAGTTCCTGCAGGACTGTACTGAGTGTAATGAACCCGACTAACAGCGATAATCAACTCTCAGTCTCTGTTAGTTAATTGTCCCATGTAGAGGAGAAGGAACCTGTAGCGCCACCCTGAGGACAAACTGTTACTGCAGCTGTAGAGTGAATCTTCAGCACGCAGCAGGAGGTTGAGTTCATGTTTAAATGTACAGACTATATTATAGTTCTAGTATATTATATAGTATATTATAGTATTCCGTTCATTTCTGAGAAAAAAAATTAAATCAAAGAGTAAATATTTTGAGAAAACAACAACAACAACAATAATAACAACAACAATAATAATAAATCAGCTCAGGCTCTTTAAGTGGATACAGTAATAATGTACATTATTGTATATTGTTCCCAGTCTCACACTGGGAGCACTGGTTTGGGGCAGTGGTCCTCCATCACAGTAGCTCCGTTTCCCCGACGACTAATTATGCTTTGAATTTGTGTTGCCATGGCAACGGGCCCTGTTATGCGTTATGGATGATCATTTATCAGCACAGGATACCTGCATACACTCACTGTATGTTTATATATGGAACTGATCTCAGGTCAGTCTCAGGAGCCAATCAGTGATCAATAATGATCAGTGTTAAATAAAATAAACAAGTTGTTTATTTTTGTAAACAATCAGACTAACCCTAAAGCACTTTAGACCTCTGCACGCCTTCAAATGGGGTCATGTGGTCGCTTTCAAAGGCATGCTGGGAGACTGTGCCCCCCCCAACATCCTCGACTCCCCGCTGAGCCCGGACCTTTATTTAAAGCTTTGAAGCTTCGCCGTCCGCAGCATGGACGTCATCCACCTGTCTGTCTGTCTGTCTGTCTGAATGCTTGAGATGGTGAAGCAGCAAGGGATTATGGGAGTTGTAGTCAAGGACGTCCTGGAGGGGCTGCGAGCCGAGCTGCTGCTAACGTTAGCTCAGATGGTTTCGTCCGATGACCTAATCTACATTAGTCGTTAGGAAGCTAATGAGCTAGTTTTGCTAACAGCTATAAGATATATTAACTATAATAATAATAATAAATAATAATAATAATAATAATAATAATAATAATTAACTAATTAACTGTAAGTATATACATGTTGTTTGTTTCTGTGATAACTTACGATCCAGCTAGCTAACGTTTATACACAGTTTAATGAGGAAATATTACAGATTATAGATTTAAAGGTTGATCTTATTGATGGATTATTGGTTTTAAAGTGCAGAGGTCTGTCTGTCTGTCTGTCTGACTGTCTTCAGTCTGCACACACAGAACCATCCTGTCCTCCGTTAACTGTCCTAATTACCTGGATGTGCTCAGACGGACGTCTTCATTCACAGTTATTGAGTTTCACACAGGAAGCTTCATCTGGCAGAGTTCAGGTTCAATTAAGCGTCCGATCAATGACTCGGGAACAACGCCTCCGTGGAGCGACGCTGACAGACAGACGTTGTTATTGGAGGTTTTACACAAGATAAAAACATAAATCCAGTTTGTTTTAACTTTCATTTATTTTTAGGCGTTGTGGGTTCGTCTCATTGAGTTTAGTTTGGGAAGAGAAGAAGAAGAAGAAGCTGTTTCTGTTTGTTAACAAGTAAAACCAGACAGTCTGTATTTTACACACTGACAGCTAACAGTCAGTGTTAATAGTGGATTTTATTTAGATGTAAATGCTAGGCTGGCTACAGTTAGCCTCTGGGTGGAATGAGCATTCAGACTAAGTTAGCACAGGATAGATTGATGACTAACTATCTCTAACAGGATACATCCAGTAAATATTTGTTGGAAGTGAGAAAGGTTCTGTTGACGTAGCTAGGCTAACAGTTTCTTTGAGTTAAGCTAAGCTAACACATCCTGAAACACCAGAGAACAGGATTCACTAAAAGACTGATCCTCTTAAACAATTCATCCTCTCTGTGTCGGCTGAATATTCAGACACATTCAGACAACGACAATCAGAAGGTGTCTGTTTAAATAAGATGGAGGCCGTTGGCGGTTGCGTCTGATTGAGGGCAGAACGATCGACTCTGACGGGCTCCAAACAGAAGCTGTCAGAGCTGCGACGGAGTCTAGGTTTCGCTGATGGATTCGGCTGTCTGAATCCATTTTTGCAGCTGGACGGCAGAGCGGCCGTATTCTGCTGTAATTAACCACCAACCGCGCTAGCAAACGCCTCCACG